GCAACGGAACGGAGCGCAACGGAACGGAGCGCAACGGAACGGAGCGCAACGGAACGGAGCGCAACGGAACGGAGCGCAACGGAACGGAGCGAAACAGAACGGAGCGGAGCGGAGCGGAACGGGACAGAATAAGATAGAACGGGATGGAATGTAGTGCAAAAAGAGGGCCTTGAATGGTCAAAAGGGGGATTGGGAGGATTTTTTTAAACAATTGAAGGGGGTACCCAGAAAACATGACTGCTATAAAGTTGGGGCCTGAAAAATTTTTCGCTTGAAAAATTTTTGGTGTGTTTTTGGTGTGTATTTTTGGTGCTTGTTTTTGGTGTGTATTTTTGGTGTTTTTTGGTGTGTTTTTTTTTTCGGAAAAGTGAGGAACTCTTGGAATTTTTTAGCCTAGTAGTAGAGTAGCCAATCAGAGCGCACGGTTACATACATACATACATACTTTATTGAACACATCCCCAAGGGAGAATTTCAACGTCAATTACAATATAGAATTAATTAGCAATATAAAATCTAAGTTAAATATGTATATGTGTATATTAAATAAAACTAAAACTAAAAGTAAAGTAATATCAAATGATCAAATGTTCAGTAAAATAAATATATGAATATACACCTACTTGCAAGAAGGTTGTCATACAAGAATAGAACATTAGTAATTTAGTGAGAAAGGAATACATTAAAAGACGAAAGAAAAAGTTCAGCTTCATTGATCTTCTTTTGTTTTTTTGATATAATCCCTATCCCACTAAATCACTAATGTTCTATTTTCGTATGACAACGTTCTTTCAAGTAGGTGTATATTAAATTGAAAAATTTAATCATGGATTCTTAAATCTACGAAGAAGATTCGCTGTTAACTTACTCTTAAAACTTTTAACATCCTTACTTAATTTAATTGATTGGTCTAGCTTATTCCATAGCGTAACTGCTCTATAATAAAATGTTCTCTGTCCAGCGCTCACATCCAGTGGTTGGTTGTCTCATATATAGTTAATAAATATAATAAATATAGACTAGTCATACTTATTAGTAACGTAAATTGAGATTTAGTTTTTGTTCTTAAAAAAAATGGAATCTGAATCTTGACTTTTTTTTTCACTATTGTATTTTTGTCACTTTTTATCTAAATAGGACATTTCCACGATGGCGTCATTGACCTCTACTACCAGACTCCCTTGCACACTTTCTTTTGTTCAGTTAATTAGCACCAATTGTCTTACTATTCTCATGAGGGAATACAAACTTGAATCAGAAAGAAAATTCGCGAAGCATTATGGTAGTGGGAGTCAAATGACGCCATCATGCAAACGTCCTATTAGGCTTGTGACTTGTTGTGACGTCAGAACTTTGAATGCTTTTGCAAATTTGTCTAATGCTTGCTGATTTACTTACTTCTTTATTAGTTCTTGTAATTTAATTATACGGTAGCTAATAATGTTCTGAACCTTAGAAGTTTTTTTTAATCATTATGCTGATCGATGTCTTTAAATTTCCATTATATATTTTTATCACTTAGAAAAAAAATGTGGGGTAAATTATTAAGTTTTACTAGATAATTTGTAGTTCTTCAGAAACTTAGACAATAAACAAATAAAAAACGTTTTCCGTATAAACATAGCCAGTAAACACGAAGGATGTTTGGAAGGATTGGAAAGCATGTGTGTAAAACTGATCGAGCAGTATTATTGCATTATTGTCTGTCTGCCTTTCCTCTTTGAAAGCCCCATTAGAGCTATTACGAAGTCTGAAGGCAATTTCTTCCGTTTTTAATTGAAAATTTCTTCTTTTTTTTTTTTTGTAATTGAATTTTTAAACTCCTATCAGCTTTTAATAATACTTAAAGTGCCTATTCACCCTAGCTTCTGACAATATTTACAATATTGATTCTACATGAGATGAAATGTTGAATAATCCGGGGGAAAAAATAGTTTGAGTGCGGCTTCTTGAACTGGTTATGCTGAGGAGTAATCTTAATATACAAAACATTACTGGCACAGATAATTAAATTTGAAATACGTCATTGTCCATTACGGCTGTTATAAAAATTATCGCAAATTAGCTTTCACATGTTAGCCGGTGTTTGAATTACAAGGAACAACAAATAACCATAAATGTCTCCTCACACGTCACAACATTAGCATATGGCATGGAAAAATCTTTATAACTTTAAGAAGCTGCACTCAAGCTATGAAATTTTTTCGGGTTATTCGACATCTGAATATTGTGAATATTGTCAGAAGTGTGATAGCAACTTTAAAGCCAAGGCTAGAACAGATCTAAAACGCGCCCTAGTCCTATTATTTAAAGAAGTTTAATCGTCTTTTAAAGCGTGCGACACAAATGGAACCATGTCACTGTGCTGATTCTCTTCATTCATATCTTCGCGACGTTGCAAGCTTCTTATGCCTTTATTAGCGTCATAAACAAAATCCAAGTAGTTATCCAGCTCTTCTAGTCTTCTTTGTTCATCTATCTCTTTCCTTAGTATTCCCTTAACACTCTTGGGCGGTGTGCGAATAAATTTCGCGTCCAGTTTTAAAGCTTCATGATGCCGTGTGCAGACCTCTTGCACTTCTTTCATTGTTGAATTTATTTGTTTTCTTTTGTAGCTTTCCCACGCACAGTGGTCGTTGTAAGACCGGTAGAGATTTTCGTCTGAAGGATAGCTATAAATAGAAAAAACTCTTTAAAAAAAAAAACGATGTGTAATGCTCGTCTAATATAACACGTAAATTTTATTTCTTTTCACAACAATTCGTCCGGCATCGTGTAAACGCAGCCTTAAAGCCATACTCATACTTACTCTGTATTCAAAGCAATGTCTCTAGCTTGTTTCAGGGTTGATTTATTTGAGTATCGCAAGTAATCTGCCCTTTTTATTCTGAGAGTGATGGCTCCTTTGCTCACCAACATCAGCTTGCGACCTGTTGGCATCAGGATCTCACTCAAATCCTGTATTTATGTAAGAATAATGTATGTGTTAGTAAATGTATCTAAAATTAATTAGAAAATTTATTTAAATTTTTTATTTTATTTTAAATAGCTTTTGTTGTTGTTGTTGTTTTCTTTCTTGTGTTTTCTTGTCGGCTACAAATTAAAGCTGCTTTTTCTTTCTTTCTTTCTTTCTTTCTTTCTTTCTT